TACATGAACTTTAGAAATTGAAGCTGCTAGGCCCAGTGTGATGGTTCAGTGGCTAAATCCTCACATTGCATACTTCAAGATTCCATATGGTTCATGTCCTGGCTGCACCTCTTCCCATCTAGCTCTGTTTATGACTGGGGAAAGCAGTAAAGGATGATCCAAAACCTTGGGACCCTGCATCTGCATGGCAGACCCAGAAGAAGCTTCTGGCTGCTGGCTTTGGATCTGCTCAGCCATTGTGGGCACTTGGAGAGTGAACCAGCAGATGGAAGATATTACTCTTTCTCTCTGTAAATCTGCCTTTCCAAGAAAAAAAATAAATAAAAAACAAAATAAACTGAAGTTACTGCTCTTTATTTTGTTGTGGTTATTTCTCCTGCAGCAGGCATGTGGCATCCTTTCCCCTTGGCAACAGGCTTTGTGCTGGTAGTTCTCTTATAGAGCCCTTTGCACTCTACTGCTGCTCCTAATGAACTAGAAGAGGGAAGGCCATCCTGCAGAGCATGATGCAAAGCGAGAGGGAAGGGGAAGATAACAGGTTTATTTATTGCCTGCCATGTGCCAGGCATCGCTACTGTATGTGTTAAATACAGGCCAAGTGTTTGTGTTTTTCTTAATTTAACCTTCCCAACCATCCCATGAGGTAGGCGTTATTATTCTCACTATATTCAAGAAGGGACTGTGGCTCCGAAAGCTTCAGTAACCTATCCAAGTCATGCAAGGCCAGAAATGGAAACCACGGCTGCCTGGTTTAGAAGAGTTCAGAGTAGGTGAAGCTGGTGTGGAGATGCTGTCAGTGGGAAGTGCACCGGGCTGCAGGGCAGGGAAGGACCACTCCCTTCTTTTCCATAGTTAGGAAATTCAGTGGAAAATGGAGGAAGCTGCAGCAGAGGCTCCATAGGAGCTTTGCATGTCTGTCTCCCTTTTCCATGTACTCTTTAACTTCCAATAGCCTTTAGGTCACAAAAGGAGACCAATGGGAGCAGCTCAATGATTGGCTAATCATCCATCTCTAAATGCAGGCATCCCATATGGTCATGAGTTAGTCATGCTCCACTTCTGATCTAGCTCTCTGTTTATGGCCTGGTCAAGCAGTGGAGGATGGCCCATAGCCTTGGGACCTTGTGCTCATGTGGGAAACCCAAAGAAACTCCTGGCTGCTGCTTTTTGATTGGTTTAGCTCTGGCCGTGTAGCCATTTGCGAAATGAACCAGCAGGTAGAAGACCTGGAGCCAGGAATCAAACAAAGGGACTCAAGAGTGGGACCTACACATCTTAACCACTAGGCTGTACTCCCTTTGGCACATTATTTCAGATGAGCCTCTGAAGACACTGCAGTCACAATCCACATACTACTTTAAATGGAAACAGTCCTCTACAACCTGGGGAATTCAGTCACAGGTCAGCCTGACAGCTCTGCATCAGCAGCAGACACACTTCCCATTTCACACCCACCTGCACTCCTTGGAAAGGTTTCTCACTCACCTCCAGTCGGCCAGCTGCTGGGTGCCTGCCATGCTCTCGGGAATCACAGTTGCATGCTGCACTGAGGTGTGGGTGGCCACTCCTGTCAGCTGCTGCCAGGCTGGGGGGAGCAGGATCTGCTGGGTCCCACTTGGCCAGGCCTGCTGTGGAAGAGAGAATGTCTGTGATCACTATGTTTGTTATTCGCATTATCGGTTTCTAAGAATCCAGCACTTATTCTGTGCCTGTGGCTGTACTAGACCCAGTGATGGGTGTGAAAGTGGAGAAATGGTTTCTGGTCTTAAAAAACTGAGGGAAGACAAAATAAACACGTGAAAGAACTGAAGATAATTAAGTACGTGGATAAGGAAGAATTCATTGATATTAAAGCATGCATAGTGATAAATTTGCTCTGTTGAGTGGTTCTGGAAGTTTCTAGAAGTCCATCAGCTGACTCATTATTTCATACAACTATGTAAAAGACAACAGTGGGTGAATTGGGATGTTTTTCCCTTAAGCAGCTTTCTTTATTTTAATATTCTACTTTTTGTAAACTTGAAATGTGAGCCACTATAGTTAATAGCATCTTTCATTTTATCAACAGGTATTTGTTAAGCACTTAAGGCATGAGCTGTGGGCTCCAAGCTCTCTGACTATGTCAAAGCAAATTAATAATCAAGCAAGTGATATCAAAAATAGCGCAAGAGATTGCACAGATGCTCATTTGCAACATGATTGGACCACTTCAAGGGTCTATTCAGATCTAAAATACGGCTGTGCCATTTTTATGCACTTCACTATGCAGTAAGTTAGTTTACAAGTCAAAGCAGAACTATTAATTTAATCAGTCAAAACAGTTACAAATTCAAAATACTGTTTTTTGAAATTTAAAAAGAATTTTTATATTAAATTTTGAATTTTATGGTACAATTCTGCATTCCCCCTCCTGATTCCTACCCCTCAGCTTTGTTACAATAGTATAGTCCTTCATAAAGTGTTATAATTCCATCAGTCTGTTATTTAAGTGTGCCCTGACATTGCTGGTACAGACAATGTCAAATAGTCCATCATCTCATTGTCTAAATATGTCCAACAGTTTCACTGCGAGTTCATCTTTGAATTTTAAGTAGAGATGCATGTTGCATTGTGTCTTCACGTTTGGATATGATAGTCTCTATTATTCTATCACACTATACATTCCAATTTTCATGATGATTTCCTTACATTAGAGAGAGCATATGGTCTTTGTCTTTTTGGGATAGACTTATTTCACTGAGTATAATGCTCTCTTGGTTGGGACCATCTAGTTGCTAATGGTATAATTTCATTCTTTTTAATGGCTGAGCAATATTCCATGGAGTAGATACACCACAGTTTCTTTAACCATTCCTCTTTGGATAGGCATATGGATTGTTTCCATCTCTTTGCTATTGTACATTATTTATAACTTCATAATATTAAATGAGTAACAATTTCAATGAAGTAAGATTCTCACTGACTTAGTCATTTGGACTTCATGAGTTTTGACTGATCCCATTTAAAAAATAAATGCTGATATCAAGCTAAAGTCATTTTTTTTTCTATTTCCCTGAAATGGATACTAACATTTTACTTCAGAGACGGAACAAAAGGCTATTCTGACATTTTCTTTTACTGATTGATACATACAGCTCTATTGAGAGGACACTTCCTCACACATTTCTGTGATTTATTAGTACTGCTGGGAATGGAGATAATATTTCTTGATGCCGTGTCATGAGTTAAGTAATAAATGGATTTTTCTGACTTCTCAACATCAATTCTATGAGGAAAGGACTATTCTTTCCTCTCGATTCTCAGATGGATAAACTGAGACACAGGTTAAATAACTTGTTAATTAAATTACTTATTAATATATTTATTGTTCTCTAAACCCAAGAGAGATGATAGTGAAATTTTAAAAATATGGATTTATAAACGCAAAGAGAGCAGGAGAGGGACAATAACACTTAAAATTTCAGAAACCGGAAAACAGATGGACAATTACTAAGTGAGTTAACAGACTGAAGGATTTCTAAGGTCAATTCTGAATGTTAAACTTGTCAGTTCCCAGATCCCTGGTGTGTAGGCTTCTACTGCCACTGAAGCAGAGAGCTGGAATTTTCTTCATAGGGAAACTGATGAGTTCAAGAGAAAAGAACCACAGATAGGACACTTGAGGGCCTGAGGATCTGGCAAAGAAAATACTGGGCTTGCCTCTTAATGGACAACAGAGAAACCCACACTGAGTGGTTCTCTCCTCCCGCCATACTCCTGGGCTTTCCACCAGTTTTACACTCTTTTCAGCCAAGCATCACCAGACAGGAAAATAAACTTCTAACAAGAAAATGACAAAGCAAGCAAACAAGTGAAAGACTCAGAGGAAACAAGCATCAAGAACAAAAAAGTAGTAGAAGGAAGAAAAAAAATTCACAAATCTAGGTAATGTCTCCACTGTTAAAAACATGCATGGAGTCTTCAGAAAGTTCATGGAAAATGTGTATCATGAAAAATCTTTGTATGGATTTCAAAGTTTTTTTTTTTACATCAAAATAAATGCATCTTTTAACCTCATACATCCACAAAACAGGATCATATCCAGAAATATATATTTAGATAGTAAAATTTATGTTGTGCTTACAAGAAAAAACTCAGAAATGAAAACTAAGCACAGAAGCAAACATTTCAGAAGAAGATTCTTAAAAATACCCCAATACCACAGGAAGTGCAGACACAAGACACAGAGGAAATGGGGCAGGGTGAGAGAGAGGGTCAGAAACAAGAAAACTGGAACGCTGGTGTGGAAATACAAAGTGTAGGGAACTGTGAAACAGAGAAGAAACTGTCAGAGGAGAATGACACGTTTCCAGATGCAAAGGGCACCTAGCGTGTGCTGGACTCTGCAGGAAAAGCCGAGCCACAGGAGAGCATGCAGTCAGCAAATCCAGGACCACTGCAGACCAGGGGAAAGCCTTCAGAGCTTCCCCAGGGAGAGGCAAGTAACAGACGCTGGAGTCAGTAAGCACAAACAGGTCAACACATCAAATGCACCAGCACATCAAACACACAGCTCTATTTATAGCACCGGGAAGGGTTGGAGTGTCACTTTCCATTCAGTTCCCTGCTAAATCTCATGGGACAGCAGCAGAGAATGGCCCAAATACTTGGTCCCCAGCACCTTCATGGGAAGCCAGAATGATGCTCCTGGCTCTGGTTGGTGCAGTCCCTGCCACTGTGGCCATTTGGGAGAGTGGATCAGTTGTTGGAAAATTTCTGTCACTCCTCTTTCTCTGTAACTTTGTCTTTTGAATAAATAAATGAATCCTAAAAAAAAGGAGGCTTTAAGCGCTTAATTATAGCTTTTAAAAAAATAGCCAGGGCCCGGCATGGTGGCCTAATGGCCAAAGTCCTCGCCTTGAACACGCTGGGATCCCATGTGGGCGCGGTTCTAATCCCAGCAGCTCCACTTCCCATCCAGCTCCCTGCTTGTGGCCTGGGAAAGCAGTCGAGGATGGCCCAAAGCTTTGGGACACTGCACCGGCATGGGAGACCCGGAACAGCTCCTGGCTCCTGGCTTTGGATCAGCGCCGCAGCAGCCGTTGCGGTCACTTGGGGGGTGAATCATCGGATGGAAGATCTTCCTCTCTTTCTCTCCTCCTCTCTGTATATCTGACTTTGTAATAAAAATAAATAAATCTTAAAAAAAATAGCCCTCATCATAGTTTTACAAGTTAAAAGGGTCATTTAAAAACATCTAAGAGAGAACAGCACATTAAAAGCCCCATATGTTGGCATAGATTAAATGACAAGCAGAGATAAAAAGAAAAACCGGGTAACAAGGAGACGACACGCTGCTGGATGGGCATTTCTTGAAAGTCTTCATGTATCATGACACACAGGTCTACTGCGTCCTCTGTAATGGCTGCAAGGTATTCTATTTTATGAGTGCATCAATTTAACAAATTCCCTACTGATGAACATTGAGCTTGCTTCCAACAGATCCTTGTTATAAACACTGAAGCAATTAAAGATCTTTATGCATACATTTTTGGTTCACTTTCCCAATTACAGCTTTACGTTAAAAAATACTTGGAGATTCACAACCCTCTAGGGATTCTTTTTTAAGTAAGCAAAAGTTAAAAGTAAAGCTTTCCCCTGCTAGGATTAAAGGAGAAATTCAGAAATGCTGAGCCTATCGGTTCTACTAAAGTGAACAAGGTTTCAGTGAATAAGAGCTGCTAGTAATTATTTCTTTCAGAGATGGTTCTGGCTTACTTAAGTGCGAAAATACACCAAAATGTTCTGTAATACCTTCCAAGGTAATCAGTGCTTGAGTGGCAGGGGTGGGGCAGCAGGGGGCTGGTCAGGATTTCTGCCACTAAAGTGTGAAAGACCTTCTCTCCCTTTGGACTGAGCTGTGGTTCTTTCTCTTGATTTATCTTGGACCTCTTGAACTCCCCACTACTGAAGTCTGCAAATAAGGGGGACACTACTAGGACTGGTGAGAGAGGGAGCAATAAGCCTGTCTAAGATACAAGTGGACTCCAAAGAACTCATGGAAAATACACATTGTCTGTTAATTCAAACTTTTTGAAGTCCTTTATACAGAAAGTTCTGCTTACGAACTTTCCACAAGCTAAATGTGTGTGTCATCAGCCACTAGTGTTAATGTTCACTTGCACAGTCTGGACGCAGACACAAGGAATGGTTTCTAGCAATCTTAAACAAGATGTCCTAGAAAAAGAAGAGGTAATGCAATACAGATAGTTTATGAGACTGGAATAACCTTGAAATGGGAATTACATGCCATTCTTAGTTATGAACGTCAGTATTTACAAACTGAACCCAACATTAGAAAGCATAGTATCATATATCAAACATGACATGATCAAATAAAGCTTATTCAGAAATACCAGGATACTTAAGCATTACAAACTCTACTAGGTTTAACATTCACATGAACAGATTATGGAACAAAAAAGCCACAAGAGTATTCTAATAGATATGGAAAGGACATTTGCCAAAATTCAACATTTATTAAAAACTTAACCATGATGATAAAGCATCTATCAATTTTATAGTAAATAAATACAAAATGGTAAATAGAAGAATTTACTTAAGTCAAGTCCAAGTTAAGAATGATCAATATTAAACACTGTTTTTGGAGTTCCTTGTCAGCTCATTGAAGTAAGAATATTAAACAATGGCCAGCACTGTGGTGCAGTGGGATAAGCTGCCACCTACAATGCTGGGATCCCATATAAAGCACTGGCTTGATTCCATCTGCTTTACTTCCCCAGCTTCCTACTAATGTGCCTGGGAGAAAAGTACAAGATGGCCCAAGTGCCTGGACCTCTGCCACCCATGTGCAGGTTCAGCCTGCAGCCTTCAGCCAGTCCCAGCCAGTTCAACCATTCTGGACCCAGTGGATGGAAGATTGATTCATTCTCTGGCTCCCTCCCTCCCTTTCTCTCTCACTTTTGACTCTTTCATTAGATCTCCCCTTTCTCTCTCTTTAAAGATTTATTTCTTTATTTATACTGGAAAGGTAGATTAGATTTACTGAGAGGAGAAGAGACAGGAAGGTCTTCCATCTGCTGGCTCACTCCCCAAATAGCCACAATGGCTGGAGCTGAGCCAATGTGAAGCTAGGAACCAGGAACGTTTTCCAGTCTCCCATGTGGGAACAGGGTCCCAAGACTTTGGGGCATTCTCTACCACTTCCTCAGGCCATAAGAGGGAGCTGAATGGGAGGTGGAGCTGCTGGGATATGAACCAGAACCCATATGGGATCCTGGTGCTTGTAAGGTGAGGATTTAGCCATTGAGTTGTACCAGGTCCTAAATCTAAAAAAAAAACAAAAACTATCTTGGGTTGGCATTATGGCACAGTGGGCCAGGACACCACCTATAATGTTGGCATTCTTTATGGATATCAGTTTGAATTCTGGCTGTTTCACATCCAACTAACCTCCCAGAAAATGTCATCTGGGAACAGAATAGTACCTTCTACCAAACTCTACCTTTCAATCAATTAAAAAAGTATTAGAATTGTAAAGGAGGAAATTAAACTATAACATTTGCAAATGTCTACACAGCAAATGCAAGAGGATCCACAGAAATAATCAGATACTTGTTAGAGCCAAGCATAGGATTTTTCGGTAACAAATTCAATAGAATAGAATCAGTTAGATTCTTGCAAAGGTGAAAAATTAGAACATGTAATCAATTCAATTATTAAAACAAAACTTATATAAAAAGTAATTATTCCAACAAAGGAAAACATTACTGAAACAATATATAAAGTCATATGTTCATGGATCAAAAAGATGTCACTTGTTCCTAAGATAAATACAAATACAAACCAGGTTTTGTTTTGCGTTTGAAACTAAAATTCTTATGAAAGAATGATGTGAAAATTTAGATGGACAGGTTAAGTGAGGGGACAAGAGCAGACAAGGCAATTTGAAAGACTGTTTTGGAGCAGGGCTTTCCTTAACAGACACAAAAACATATGCTAATATTATAATGGTCAAGACAGTAGGATATGGAAGTCAACTGAAGCTACAATCTCCATTTAGTAAGATGCTGTAAAAGTGTCTTTGGGAATACTTTGGGAAAAGCCTTTGGGATCCTAAGTTATTTAAAGATAAAAATGCTTTTTAAGATAAAAACACTTTAGGTCAAGCCGTCCTTGATGCCCCAAAGTAGACATCATTATATACATAATGAAGAATAGTGATTGCTGTGGTTTGAACAGGATTTGGCTCTTCAAACCATGCAGCTGTTTAAACCCCTAACCCGCTAATGTATTAATGCTAATGGATTAGGAACGGAGACTTGATCTAACTATAGCATCTGGGAGGCTGGTCTAGTGGGAGGTCTTCAAGGCCCTGGGGCCTTGTGAGAGTTGGCTCCCTAAGTCAAGTGCACTTTCTATCTGCTTCCTGCGGAGTCATCCTCCAGCCTTGCTAGATCTCTGAACCAGTAGGACTACCCCATCTTGGAATATAAACCTTAAAAATTGTAAGCTAACACAGTTTCTTTCCTCCTCAATGGTCCCTCTCAGGAATTTTAGTGAAGGCGACATGAAGCTAACTAGTGTGGTAGTTACAATACAGAGACTGGACTTCGTGGGATTATGTTCTGGTTCTGTCACCTAATTGCTATGACACTGAGTCAGCTACTGTGCTTTAGGTTCCCAATTTGTTACATAGGGACCAACACATTACTCTGTTGTTGGGGGACTTAGTAGCTGTAAAGTGCCTGACATAATACCGATATATTTATTATTAGGGATCAAGTATCATTCAGGATTGACAATCATTTTTACCCATGTCACAACTATTACCTTAAACTTATTCAACGTTTTATAAGTTTTCAACTATTTATTGTGTCTGATCTCATTCTACCATTAGAGACCTCCATGGTGGTATCTAAACAGACAAGGCAGGTTCCAGGATTCAGCTTCTCCAAGTCTTTGAACTGTAAATAGGCGGTCAAGCTCCAAGGTTCCTTTCAGCACTAAGAAAAATCTTTTCTATTATGTAAGAATGACATTTAAGGCAAAGAGATGCTAACTGTCTTGCCTTAGGTCATACAGAGATATCAGTACAGTTAGGTTTAAAACCTCGCTCTCTCAGATTAATTTGCATTACAAAAATACAATAGCAATTTCCCGGGACTCTCCCGGTAGCCAGGTTTCTTCCTGGGACTGTAAGCAGATGCTCAGGCAGCTAATTCCTTCGGGAATCATTTAGATGATTATGGATAAAGCCCAACGACTGGGGGAGCATCCGACTCCTTAGCAGGGAGGCGTTAGTGGGGAAGCATCACCTGAGAGCAGCATCAGTATGGACAATGGTAATAGCAGCAGTAGCACAGAAGAATTACCTGGGCAAGCAGACCTGGCTGGATCTGAAGAGGCTGAGCTCCGGGGGCCTGAGTGACGATGGGCACTGCATTTTCCATTCGCACTGAATAGCCAGCATGCTTGGAGGGGGAGGCCTGCAGACCTAGAGTCGCACAGTGGGGTGAGGGAGAGAAAGGTGTGTTGAGTGATTCCAACTGCTGGGTGGAGAGCGCCTTTCAAACCACTGTTTCTCTGCCCAACATCAGGATACTACCCAGTCCTTTGGAAGTTTGCCCTCCCTCCCGTCCAATTCCCAGCCCTATAGAAGAGAAACAAAACAGTCAAATGAAAGCTAGGACAAATGAAGGAATCTGTAAGGCTAACGGTGGAAGAGTTAGGTTGCCAAATCACAGCAGGAAAATCAGGGTTTCTTGAATGTATCAAGTTGTATATTTCAAAGAAAGGGCAGAGCCCAAGTGGAGCGACCTGGAGTTGCATTGGTGGATACTGAGCTTACACGGTGAGGTTTGCAGAAGTTGATTCCTTAAGCTTGTCTATGTAAACTGTAACAAGCATGCAGCTGACGTTAGCTTCATTTAAAATCTATGGAAGAGGAGTGAGAGCCCTCTCCTGACATCCCTCCCCTAACCCTGCCCCCGCGATGCTTCCTCCCCCCCCCCCCCCCCCCGTGCCCCATTCCGGGGGGTGCATTTCAGACAGATTTCTATTCTGTGTGTGAACTGGAACTGTGTTGGCTATCAGAACTGGCAATTTTCTACTGATAATCCACACAGAGGATATCTCAGAAGGGAACAGGAGCTGACATCAGCATAACAATGGGAGCCCAAACAATGTGCTATTGATAGACAGCTGAAAGGGGACACCAACTCTGGCAGGTGGCAAGAGGAGGAACAAATTGTCTTGGTGCTGAAGCACATAACTGTTTCTGGGCTGGCCACAGTAGACCAGGAAGCCTGTAAGTCTAGTGATGCCAAGGGCTTGCGAGCGAGCATGATGATGTGAAGATGTGATGATGTGATCCAGAGCCTCTGGTTGCCACAGCCCCAGAGGCTGGTGGACGGGAAGCAGGTAGGAGTCTGTGTATACCCCTCCTTACCTTGGAAGCCGGGAGGGCACACGATGAGAGCTTGCTGGAAGGGGTCGGGCCGGGCGCAAATCTGGGCTGTTCCTGTCTGCAGGGGCATGCTCCGCTGGGCCACTGCAGCCATGGATGCCGCTGAGGGCTGGTAGAGTGTAGATTGGTAGTTTAGTATGGAGACTTCGGGATTGGCTAAGGAAATAGTGGCACTGGTGGAGGTGGGAGCCTAAAGGAATGGCGGGGGTTAAACAAAAATAAACAAAAATAAAAAATGAGGGAGGTGGTATGTTGGGAAAAATGAATCTAAAAAATAAATGAGCTCAAAGAAGAAGGAACAAGCAAACAAAACAAAAGCCAGGAGCCAAAACACAGAAACAAAGAGGAAGAGACATCCAGTTGAAAGGCTCAGAGAAAGTCCCTGGAGCCACAGGGGGACAGTCTCTTTGGAGGTGGATAGCCTAAAGTTTTGGTGGGTTGGGACAAAAACACAATGACAGCAGGATAGAAAATCACTTGATAAAGTAGTCTACTCCTCCACTTTAACAAGGACACCTCCACGGCAACCTGGAAGGCCTGGTTTGAGTGGAGGATACGGATTCCGTTCTGCTGGAACATAGAGTTGGTGGGCTGAACTTTGCCTTCATCTTCCCTGCCTGAATTCCGTTCCCCAGCTGTGAAGGGGTTTGAGGTGCACACAAAGGTGCTTGGAAAAGTTTATAAGCACTGTAATTAACAGGCGAGCTTATTTTAGTACAAACCATTGAAATTCAGGCTTTTTTTTTTTTTAATGAACCATTTGAAGATTTCTGTGTGTCCAAGCTTTGCTTACGCTCCCGTCCCCTTGGGCTAGGCGCTATGGTCTACACAGGGGAGGCAAATCCTGGAAGAGGTTCCTGTAGGTTTTATTTTATTTATTTTTAAATAAAGATTTATTTATTTTTACTGGAAAGTCAGATATACAGAGAGGAGGAGAGACAGAGAGGAAGATCATCCATCTACTGATATATGGATAAACAGGGAGTAATAAAATTCAGTGCAAGAGAATGGAGATCCTGTTCTCAGATGCCTTGCATTTGGCGGCTGTCTTTTCCCTTTATCCCGCACTCTGGCTCAAGCATCGTGCTAAGATCATAGCCATCTTAACTTCACTCCAGCCCTGAGCCAGATTCGGATGGTGTTAGTACTTGGAGAAGAAGAATTACTTCCTACTGCCTTCCTGATATGGAATCCTTTTAGTGTGCAGAGTCTTTGGGACAGATGTGCCAGCTGCCGCACTGTGGGTAAAATGGAGGGGACCTTTGCTGGTATGGTTGAGGACCTGGGCCTCTAGCCTAGTGGCAGACCTCCATGGACAGGGCAGCTTGCCATGAGGTGCACTCTCCCCTCTGCCACTTTTGACTGACTGGGGACAACAGATGGCAGATAGGGATAAGCAGCTTAGGTTGGAGTTAATATCCAGTGTCACATGAGGACTGACTGGAAAAACAAACCTTCAAGAGGAAGGGGATCAAAATCCTGCTAACAGGCTTGCATGCCTGGTTGTGGATGCCTTAGCTTTAAGGCTGGACTAGGGTCTGGGTGTTGTTTTTTGTGGCTTCAAGCATTGGATAACACTAGCTTTTCACCACAAGGACAGCCTCAAGAACACCAGTGGTCCTCAGGGAACTGCAAATGAAAAATGTTTGAGCAGACAGAGAGAGGACAAGGGAAGGAAGCTGGGTATAAGTAGCCCACAGGAGTATAGGAACGGCCCAGGTGAACAGGGCAGGTAGAAGCAGAGGCTGGAAAGTTGGGGTCAGGGACCACCACTATGGCACATCAGATTAAGCCTTTGCTTATAATGCTGGCAACCCATATGGGGGGTTCCTGGCCATTCTACTTCCAGTCCAACTCCCAGCTAATGCTCCTGAGACGCAGCACAAGATGGCTCCAGTACTTGGGATCCTGCACTCATATAGGAGAACCAGATGAAGTTCCTGGTTCCTGGCTTTGGTCTAGCCTAGCTCTGGTTGTTGCAGCTATTTGGGGAGTGAACCAATAGATGCAAGATCTCTCTCTCACTCTTTCTCTCTCTCTCTGTGTAACTTCACATTTCAAACAAATGAATGAAATCTAAAAAGAAAGGAAGAAAAGTAAAGCTGGGGTCAGCAGCTCCTCTGTTGTTGACAGGTCAACAAAGGGCAGAAGCTGTCTGCTCAGGACATACATGTTCAACTCCTGGGAAGGAACACACGTGTGCACACACACAGGAGAGGGGTTGTCACTCCAGACTTACACAGGACTGATATAACTCCTCAAGGGAACGGGTCAGACTGGAAGATGAGGGTAAAAATAAAAGGTACAGAGAGCCTTGAGGCAGTCTAAGCTGGGGGTTTCTTCTGTTTGCATCTACTGACATTCTGGGGATAGGCTCAAGAACTGATTTCCCCCAAGACTTGGGGAAAGGACAAGGCTTCTTAGGAGATACAGGCTCAGCTTGGGCATGAGGGGCAGGGCCTTTGGCGGAGAGCCACCTGAGTCTCCCCCAGTCCCTTCTGGGGGAGTCTGGGGGACCAGTGCTCAGCACAGTGGGGCCCGAATCTCTCAAAGGAAGGAAATGTGGAAGCAAATCTTTCCTTCCAGGGTTGAATGCAACAGTACAGGACTTTGATCTCTACCATCTCAGTGGGCAAATGGGAGTCTGAATGCTCCCACTGTGTGGACCCTGCCCATTTCTCCCCTCTGCTCCCCACTTACCTGGTTGTGGACAGTGGTCAGTTGGTTGTTAAAGGTCATGGTCAAGTTGGTGGATGTGCTGGGGGCCACGTGCGTGATGAAGGGGGTTTTGCTCTGGTTCACCGTGTCATACATATTCACCCGACGTTTGCAAATCTCCATGTTCTGGAAACATGATTTGACGCTGTCCAGGCAGAAGGCAGAGGCAGACAGAGACACAGGGACAAGGGAAGAGGGCACATGGGATGCACGGGAGAAAGTCAGGGAAAAGGAGAAAGAACTATTAATCTGGTAAAGTAGATAGTTGGGAAACTTTAAACTGCCTGGATTTCTGCAAATTCTGTGCCTCTGTGACAGTCCACATTAAGATTATTTAGATGAATTTCTCATGCGTCCTACTAACCTTTCTCCTCATCCCAGAGGTGTGTGGATTCCACACAACATGTTTAACTCTTCTAACTGCACTCTCACTGGGCTGATTGGCCTACAACTTCACTTTCATTGTGGTTCCTGGCCTGTTATTGTGTACTCTTTGATTGGAAAGACCTTTGCTAAAAACGCCTTTGGTCACCTTTTTCTGCTACCCTAGGTGACCAGCGCCATCTAGGGGACAGACAGGGAATGCTACTAGCCCGTCTGAGGTGCTAGGGCTGCCATCTCCCTGTCTGTCCTCTGGAATTGTCCATAGAACGGAAGCAATAGTGGGTAACATGTACTGAGAGCAGTGGGAGGGGGTCACAACGCCCCTTGCATGAAGACAGGATTGCTGTCTGTCCCGTTTCACAAGGAAGGCTGACCCCCAGGAGGGACGGTCCTTTGCCAAGGGCCAGGACTTGGTGTACTGACTCTCCACGTGTGCGTGTACCTCTTGCTTCCTTTCTTCGCTGCTCACGTTCTAATTCTTGTTTAGTTACATCAAATACGGTTTTCTGCTTCATTGTGTTTGTGAATCATAAACAAAACCTTAGTTATAGATGTAAAGCATTGAAGTGGAGCTGATACCAGCAGCAGAGGAAAGCAGGCACAAGCTACCTCACCATTCAAGTTGCTGAAACTATCATGAAGGGTCCCTCACAACTTGTATCTTGCTTCTCATTCACCTCTGTGTCTTCTAATAAACTTACTCTCCCTCAAATGCTAATATTTAAGATAATGAAACCCCACTGATTTTAATGTAGAATGCCTATTTTAATTACAAACAATGCAATAACTGAGATGCAATAAATAAGATAATGGTTTTCTACTGTTTTTCACAAGTGTCTACTCTTTCTGCACACTGTTCGTGTTCTCTATCGTGGACCAAGCAGGTGTCTGTGAGCTATGTCAGAATCCTTTCCTTGAAACATGCATTTTGTTTCAAACAACCAATTCAGATATGACACAGAGAATCCTAGTTCATGAATTCCTGAGTTCATGATGGCCTACCCCAGCCACGTCAAATGCATACTAGATAAACATTAATTGACTCATGACACGGAAGAGAAAACACATTCCATGGTAACCAACATATGAAGATACTAATACTATCAATATGAGTGTGTTCTGAGCTTCTACTGAGTACCAAGCATGCTGCCAGACGCTTTCACATGGAGGCCGAAGTTAACAAACAATGCACTGTGCATTCTTTTTGGGAGGTATTTAAAGCATTGGTGGTTTTAAGACAGTTTAACACACACTAAATGTTCAGGCTCCTTCAGAACCTTCGAACTGAAATGGTTGTGTTTCAGGAAGCGGCAAGCACTTTTGCTCTGAGTCAGTTTATAGGAAGAGTGATTTTGAAATGATCTATATATTGGAATCTGGCAAGGAGAAATGAATGGGGCTCTTCCATCTAGTAGCTGGGATGTCAGGGTGGCTGTGGGCAGCTTGTGCGCCCCAAGGGCAGGGGTCTGCAGCCGGGGGAGACTGGACGTGTACTCTCACACCTTTCTCTGTCTTCTAGATCAGACACTCCAGGGGGCAGGGGGCTCCATCTGCTTCGCTTGCTGCTGCACCGGCACCTTGCACAGTACACGGTACACTGCATGCTGAATAAATGAACAAATCCAGGTTCAAACTAGACAATCACTCCAGGCTGTTCCAGGAGCAATTCTGGGTGTTGATGCTGTTTTGCTCTGTGGATGCTGCCACTTGGGGCACTGCCTTGGATGTAAACCTACCCAAACCTGTTCACCCAACTCTGTGTTCTGCACTTCACTATTTCCTCCTTTAACACAGCAAAGTTTGGCCCAGGGTTCCAATCTGGCTACCACCTGTTTTTGCAAATGTGTTGGAATGCAGCCTGATGCGTCTGTTCACGCGTCGCATCTAGGGTCACTTTCAACTGTTAACTCCAGAGCTGAGTTGCAGTAACAGAGACCAGATGGCCGCAAATCCTGAAATGTTTACTATCTGAGCCTGTAAGAAAATATGTGTGCTGAGCCCTGATATAAAACAGGGGGTGGGGCACTTACTGTGTGCTATGGGGAAAATCAAGTAAGTGTGTCATGGTGACAAAGGGATGGTTTAGGGTTTCAATCGGCGTGATTCTCTTATCCGCATCTATGGTCAGCATCTTCTTCAACAGGTCAATGAACTCCCGCCGGTCTGCCTTTTCCACTAACATGTCGCTCCCTTCCAAATCCGTCGTCATATTCACCTGGAAGCAAGTAGGGACAGGTTACCAAGAGCCCCGGCTGCCAGCCTTGCTGCCCCTTTTTCTCTGCCCTGCCACTTCCTTGGGATCTCTCAAGCTCAGCTCTCCCAGGCTCCAGGCCACTGTGCTCTGCCCCTGTGGAAGGCACCAGCCTACACGCATGCAGCCAGGCTAGAGAAAGTACTGAGGACAAGGGCGGAAGGCTGCTGCAAGACGTGCAAATCCATCTCACCACTGGACAGCACTGCTCCCACTGTAATCAGGTAAGCTGGAATGCAATTCTCATCACACCTTGTCGAAAAAAACCATAAGATGAGAAGAGTTCTGGAACCTGGCTGCACAACCATGTGAATGGAGTTAATGTCACTGAACTGTATGCTTTAGAAAGGGCAAAATGGCAAAATTTATGCTCTTGTATTGCAATTAAAAAAAAAAATACAGCCCAGTAAATGTAAAAATAAGATGCATGAAAAAGAGAGGCTGTGTGTGCGTGTTATTTATTTAACTTTTGGATGGAAATGGAAGGGTTAGGGTAACTTCTTCCTTCATCTATGTGTACAACATATCACCCTTCTCATGCTTCCTGTATGCGGAGCTGTCACCTCTGGCCAAGGCAGATGAATATCTGAACGGGATTTTTCTTTTAAGAGTTAAGTCTAGACTAGGATAGTGGTGCTTTCTGTTTTCTCCAGGACATGCTCTGGAAACTGAATTCATTTTCTCAGATAATCAACTGCCAAGCATACTTTACTCAGAATCCTGATTTTTGGTTATACTTACCTGTGGTGAGAGATATGTTAAGTGATGATTGGTCTATAGCTTTATTTTTCATGCTTTAAGGAAAAATGCACTTTCAGTGCTCTCATGTTCAGACTAGCCTTCACAGGAAAAGTAGCTGAAGTTCTAGAACTTTCCCTGTGGTCCCTGCCAGTAAGTGAAGGGAGATTGAGTGTGGCGGATTGAGTTGTGTCTCTCTGAAACAATACAGTTAAGTCCTAATTTCCAGTAATGGTGACCATGACCTTATTTGGAAATTAGATCTTTGTGGAGGTAATCAAGGATGGAAGAGGTTATACCAGAATAGGGTGGGTGCCATTCCAACAACTAGTGTCTTCCTCTGAGAAGACTTGGACCCTGAGACACAGAGATGCAAGCCACCTGGACAGGAGGTCGATGTGCGTGCAGGCAGCCATGCACCACGGGATACAGAGCACTGCCAGGAGACATGGGTGGCTTCAGACAGAAGTGGCTTTTGTACAGATGTCGGCCTCCAGAATCTTGAGAAAACAAGGTCTGAAGACACCCTGCTCTTTGTATCTGGTTATAGCAACCCTTGGAAACCAGCAGGCTGGGTTGATCTTGAGCATATACTAATGGGCTAGAATTCTTCTCATGAAAAAAAAATCACTAGCAAGGGATTGGTCAGTACTATTTTGCTAATGAGAACTAATTTTTGTTTGAGATACAGAGTGAGTGAGCACATGCCCACAGCAGCTGGGGGGTCGGAAGTCAGAAGCCAGGAACTGTCTGGGTCTCCCACGTGGGTAGAAGGGACCCAACCTTAAAGGTCATCCCTGCTGTCTTCCAGGGGCAGGAAGCTGGAGCTAGGAGCTGGAGTTGGATGACAAACCTAGGCACTCCAATGTGGGGTGCAGGCATTCTAACCTGGGACTTAATCAGCAAGTCAAATGCCTGCCCCCATGAAGCTTTTTTCTAAAGAGCTGGTGTAAGGTTTAACAACATTCCGCAAACCAAATGGTAATCTCAACAAGACTGGCATGTAATTGTTCAAGGTCAGAGATAACCACCACAGTTGTGTACTAAAGGTTTCTACCTATTATCCTTCTATCCCTATTGCAGAAATCTTGCTGGCACTTGGTTTTTGAAGGGCTTACAACTCATACTCACCCACAGAGCTTACCTGGGCCATATCATCTAAACAGTTGAATATGTACTTTCTTGCTTCTTTTGACTTAATCCCTGTCTCTGCTTCATGGTCATCCGGTGTCTAATAAGAGAGATGAAAGTCAATCGGTAACGGGACTTATTCCTTAGTCACCATAACTCCAACTTTTGAACTCTTTCCAGAAGCTCTTTCCCTGTTTGTTGGATAGCCTGGTCACCTGCTATGGTTTGCCCTGAGTTAGGTATAGAGGATTCTAAGATGCCACACCCCTGATCACCCATTCCTTAAGTGTCCCTAAGTCCCTAAGTGTCTAGCCTTCCCTAAGTGACAGGGATTAAGGTGAGATTTCATTATGGACAGTGGAAGCCTTCTCCCACATGATGGCGCATGGAAAAAAGTATTTAGTATGTACTGATTTAAGCCCAGTTTCACACAGTTCTGACACTGTGTGAAAAACATAAATGCTTTTGTTTATCTTCATAACCATATCACACAGGATTGCTATTCCCATTTTCTGCAGGGGAAAGCAGGATTAGAAGGCCTAGGAGCCGTGCCAAGGTCACATAGCCATGAGGTGGCAGGTGTCTCTGGAGTCCATGGTCCATGCTGTTCTGCCAGGGGCTTGGGCACAGACATCCATTTCTACTGTTGGCTTGGGAAACTGCTATTCCAACTGCTGTGGGTTTTGAGGGTCATCCATGGGCCAGAGGTAATTAATCCTCAAAATCTTAGTCAAAAATAACAGCAGGTACAGCTTAAACTCCGAGAACATCTGGACCTGCTGCACTGAGGCTCATAGCAAAACACAGAAGTGACCCCTGCCTGTCCGTTCCCCTTCTTCATTCTCAGGTGTTATACTGGACATGACCTTGACATTCATCTTCACAGTGGGCAAAGGTCAGGTTTCCCACCAGTAACGTGAGTATACTTGCTTGGGTTCCAATTTGCCTTTCACAAACTTTTACTGCCATTGCCCACACACTCTCTTTAAACTATATAAAGTTTACAGTTTAAACTGGCTGTGGTTCAGTCAAAAAGAAAAAGAAAAAACACTCATCCAAGATCCCTCCAAAAAGGAAAGCACCTAGAGTGAATATAAAACACATTGAAAATGTTTATTATTTTTTCCTTTCCAGAAAAATGTATTCATTTTCATTACTGGGCACAGATCAAAGGAAAAGTAAAATATGTTTCTGTTCAAGTAAAACCACCCAGGAGTTTCTGGTATGTAGTGGTGCACTGCACCACCTGCCGGCCCGGGATGAACTGGAGCCCTCTCTGGGGCCCTGTGATACTCGAGCTCTTCTGGCAGCTTATCCTTACTTCTCAACTGGGGCCTAGCTGAAGTGCTCCCTCCTGGTCCCCCTGCTCCAGGCAGAATTCAGGCTCTGTGCCCCCTTGGCTCCTGTGTACTTTCCCTTTGAGGAAGAGCGTACTGTTTAGGGTGGCCCAGAGCTCGTGGGCCTTGGTTCTGCCTCTCTCAGGATTGTGGGCTCCTGGTTCCTTTATGCTCACTGCAAACAGCAGACGGCTAACAAGGCGTATCGGATCACATCCCTGGAGCTCGGCAATCATGCTATGGAATTCAAGCTCGGCCTGGGCCAACAGCCCAGGGAGAGAGGCATTCTGAACCCTCAGCCTCAGCCACGCAGGCATCACCAGGCCGCAGCCTCCTGCACTATGTGGGCTGAATTCAAGGTGAGACCCATGTTGAAAGCTCCCCACCAACGGGAGATGTGCCCAGTGTCGGGCCACCATTTGGAAACAGGGGGAACGAACTTCCTACCTTGAGCCTCCACAAAGGATACGGTGAGTCTGTGTCACGGTTGAAAAATCTAGTTGTCTTTGTACCTGCGCTTAATAAATATTCAGCTGGCAAACCCTGTGTTTGTGAAATATACCGAATCTGCAAGAAAAGATGAAAAGCAGGTCAGGGCTCCTACTGTCACCATACACGCAGTATACTAATGACTCTAGTGGCTTTGGGAAGAACAAAAAGACAATTTTTAAGAGAAAGAAAGAAGTAAAGAAAAAAGAAGTAATAAGGGCAAGGAAACTAAGGTTTGGGGGCAATATAACACCCTATAATCCCAGCACTATGTCATGTCACAAATGAAATACAAACCCAGGCTATCACCCCAGAAAAGAATGAGGTGTTTTTGCGGCTGCCCAAGTTACCTGGACCCACCTGATCATACTCCGAAGCTCCTGGATATAAAGGCCAACCCAGGAAGAGCTCCGCGATGACACAGCCCAGAGACCACATATCAATCGCCTCACAGAACGGTAAACCGAGGATGATCTCAGGTGCCCTGAAACAGAAGGACGAGACAAACCATGAGCAGAGCTGCTTCTACATGATTTCTGACTCCCAAATCCATTACCGACGCACCCTCAGGCGGCCTGTGGTTCCTGGGACAGGTGCTGGCCCATCTGTTCCTCTGCTAGGTCCTCCCCACTAGATGAGGACCCAGGAGGATGGTAGGCCAAGATGAAGGGCAGGTTTGAGGCTTCGAAACAGACCAAGGCGAACCACATCCACTGGTTTCATTACGATCACATCCCAACCCAAGGAGCCAATGACCGCTTTAGAGACACCTGGGAGTCATTTTCTGCAGCTGAAAACCTGGAACACAATTTTTGGAGAATGCCTGATTTAGGTAAAGCAGTTCTGGGATGCTGGTGGCCTATTTACAGTAACAAATAAAACAAGCTCCTTCTGCCCAAAGTAATAGGATTAAATCTAATATCCACTCATGCCAATGACCTCTTTCAAATCAATCTGCATCCCTTATTCCCAAGGACACATTTTTTTCCCCTCCCAGTAGCTTCTGAACAGATAATCTTCAAAATTCTCTAATATTACAGAGATAAAACCCTGCTTGTGATTGCATAGTATGAGCATTGAGCAGAATTCTGCTGTAAATGGCCCATGGCTGACTGGCAGTTGCTCAGAAGCAAGGTCCACTCACACAACAGACAAGACATGAACTCAGAGAGAAAATTCCACGTGTAGGTCGGCAATCAAACCCAGAAGGTCCGCAGAGTACATCTACTCTAAGAATGTGCCATGGTTTTGGGGGGAGTAGGTGTTGGGGGAAACCTAGCTCAAAATTCCAGAGATAAAGTTTCTATTTTTAAAAAAGACATGGCTCAAGGCACTCAGCTGATAATAGAATGCATTATCTCAACTTCTGTTTTCTCAGTAAATTTCCCCATTTGATACGGGGATGCTAAAAGAGGCTACTCCATCACCCTTCACCGGCTGGAATGAGAGTGAAGGGCTAAGGATGCCTGCCTCTGTCAAGGTCATCTCTCATGTCTGAACTCAAGGTGGAGAAGGAATCAGAAATGCTCCCAACATCCTTGGATCTCCCAGATGAACTTCTTTCCACTTAAAAAAAAATTACCCCACACATCACCCTTTCAAATTTACTCTTATGGCTAATGTTTCCTTTGTAACAACACTGCAACAAACAAATAAAACGTCTGCTGCAAAATTATAGTTTTTCCACACAAAGGGGGATATATTCAGTTCCGGAAGCTGCAGATGGGTGCATGGGGAGTGCACAGTGTCCAGCCTTGCAGCCAGGCAGTGTACTGCCAGGGGTGAGCAGTAGGCAGCCTCCCAGAGCATTTAGCGGATCCATCGTTTCTGTCCTCTCACTGCTGGAAGCAGCTGCAAGCATTCTACCCAGCCCTTCCCCTTCTCTTTGAAATTTTTGGAAAGAAAGGTTAGTTATTTTCATTTGGTCTGAAAAGGAGGGTAGGAGGAATAAGGTAAGGAGGGAGGAAGGGAGAGAGAAATAGAGCATCTTTCAACTGCTGGTTCACTCCCCCAGATGCCAGCAACAGCCAGGAGCTCTAGTGATGATCATTTCAAGGGACAGCAGACACTGATTTTGATGTTTGACATGACATAGACAGGGCCTTTGGAAGTGTTCTGAGTCCACCAAGAGAATGAGATGGCCCCGCAGCATCATCGCATGTCCAGCTGAGTACTTCTCTCGTGACCACAAAGAACAGTGCTCACAACTGGGAGAGAAGAGATGCAGCAGCACAGTCCTGCCTGCGAAGGACCTCCACAGCACACAGACAACGAAGGCTGGATGCAGAGGTGTACATAAAACAGAGATGGGGAAACAGAGCCAACACAAGCACACGGCTAGCTGCAGCAGCTCCTATGTTAGAAGTGGGACCCAAGAACAAAGCAGAAATAAAACCCAAACCCCATATTGTCTTTAACCCCCCTTCCTCCCTGCAGAGGTTGTGTGTGATGGGTCATCTGCCCCTGTGGCTTCCTCCACTTTACTTCACAGCATCTTCTCAACCTCTGACACCACATGGAAGCTGTTCTGTTAGATGCTGAGACGGGCAGTGGTCTCCACAACTCCTATGCATGGGGCAACTTCTCAGCCCTGGGACTGGAAGCCACTTTTCCTTCCCACAGTTGATGCTTCTTTCTGTTCTGAACCACCTGGCTGTCAACACATCTCACTATTGGTCTGTGGGTTTTGGGGTTTGTCTCTTCCCATCTTGCTATGGCACTTTGGCAAAATTCCAGGCACTTGCTCCTCTTTCTGTCACAGGTTGAACTGGGTTGCCCTCCCTCCAAAAGATACACCAAAGTCCTAATCCTCAGTCTTTTGGTCAGGATCTAGTTAGTTAAGATGGTGTCACATTGGAGTGGGTGAGTCCTGTTCCAATGTGGCTGTTGTCCTTGTCTTAAGGGACACTTGCACACTGAGTGGCAACATGGACATGTGATGACAGAGGCAGAGATTGGTGTGACGCTGCACACAAGGAGGTCCACCTGAGCCACTAGGAAGTGGAAAGAGGCCAGGAAAGGTTCTCTCTGCAGCCTGTTGAGGGAGCATGGCCCTGCTACACCTGCTTCCAAAAACCCACTGGTCTTAAGCCAGGCACTTTGTGGTGCTTGCTTCAGCCACCCTGGGAAGCTGCTACAGCAATTCATCTGCTCCCAAGGGTTTACAGTCTATTCTCATGTCTGAGTTTTCAGCTCCATCCTGGCATCCCTTTGTATGGATTTTCATCTTGTTACTTCTGTGGCGGTGCTTCCCAGTCCCCTCAAGGTTGACCTGCTTAAACGGGAGCACATCTCTTTTCTCAACGACTCCTTCCTGAAATGGAATTTCAGTTTGAGAATGAGCTTTGAGTATTCCCTCTCTTCTATCCTTTCCATCCAAATCGTTCATATCATGCTTGACAGTCCAGCACAAACTGATCAGTTCTTCATCACTGCCACCACTGATCTGGCCTTGGCAACCCCTGTGTCACCCGGAATGTCCCATCCCATCTTTCCTTCCTCTAAAGTAGCCAGGTGTCATGTGTCACACCTCCCCTATTTAAGTGGTCTGGGCTCCCCAGTGCACTCACAATATTATCTGAATCCTTCTGCAGCTCACGGACTTGCATCAAAGGACCTGGTCAGCCTCTGCACTGCCACTGTAATCCACTCAGTGAGCTCAGTGCATCCTGGTGACTCTTCCACGCCTGGAACATACCAGTTCCTCCTGCACTCAGGGTCTTTGGGTGATGTTGCTGCTTCTGCATCTGATACTCTCCCTGCTGGCTCTCGGAAGGCTGCCTTCCACTTAAGTGTCTCTGCCACAGACCAGTCTCCCTTGACAGTGCCCTAAATGTCACTTTACAACCCTCTCCCAATCACCTTACCCTCACCATAACCCCAACTCCTCTCCCCTGCCAAGTACACGAAAGCAGCACGGTGCCTGGTGTTGGGAAGCCCTGCAATCAGTAAAGCATGACTAAATACAAGAAAGTGGGGCCTGGTGTGATAGCATAGCAGTTAAAGTCCTCACCTTGAATGCTCTGGGATCTCATATGGGTGCTGGTTCTAATCCCAGCGGCTCCATTCCCCATCCATCTCCCTACTTGTAGCCTGGGAAAGCAGTTGAGGACAGCCCAAAGCCTTGGGACCCTGCACCACAAGGGAGACCTGGAAGAGGCTCCTGGCGGAGTGAATCATCGGATGGAAGATCTTCCTCTCTGTCTCTCCTCCTCTCTGTATATCTGCCTTTTTAATAAAAATAAATAAACCTTAAAAAAATACAAGAAAGTGATTAACTATGTGGTTCAGATGGAAAGGTCTAAAGTAGTGCACAGCAGGCAAAGGGGAGTAGAAGGAACAAATCTTCATGCAGCAATCAAAGCTCGGGCTTGAGGGGGCAGGATTCAGCCCAAGGAAGAGCATAGGCATGCATGCCACATCCCCCTGTGGAGGGGAGTTGAGGAACACTCACCTAGGGAGTTCACAAGTGAATTAGAGCAAAAGAGAGAATGGCAGCAGGAGTGCTGGAGGTGGCATCTGGATCATGTGGGCTCTCAGAGGCGCAGTGCAGAGCTCTTATCCTGTGCCCGTCAGGATGCTCCCCCAGAGTCTACCTCTTAACTCTGTCTGGAAGCCTTTTGGCTTCAACTGCTACTCACTAAATTGAGAACTCTTCGATCCAGGCCTCTCCAAAACCACCTACTGTGCTCTCTCTCAATTCATCTACTCTGGGTGCTATGCCCATCCCCTGCTGTGAGTCTACAAGGCTCTGAGCTCCTGGAAGCCCAAAAGTCAAGATGAAGACCTGTTTCTATTTGTTCAGCTCACTTGAAGCACACGTGATGGCTGCTAAGATATGTCTAGTTTTTTAGTGAAGCTCATTGCCATCAAGAGGATTTGGGTGGAGCTCTCTTCATTCACTTGATTATTCAGACATTCACCCACTATGGACAAAGTGTCGCTGTGTGCCAGGCACTGTGTGTGTGGCGAGGATGCAAAAATCCAACCAGAATCTTGGGCTCCTCCAGGAGCCTGCTGTCTCATTATGGGCCACCACACATGTGCAGCTCACACACAATGTGCGGGGTGTGAGGGTTGGGCAGGGTGGGCTTCCCAGGAGAGGTGTGAAGCGAGTCTACCTGCAGCCAGGCAGGGATGGCTCTCAGGCACAGGACAGCTTCTTCCCATGCCTTTGCACTGAATCCAGCACCTCATACAGTGCCGGGGCAGGACCAAGTGCGATTCCCTATCCCTATAACAGCTGTCAGTGGTCTTTGAAATTGGAAAATCACCCTTCCCCGCTGCAACATGGCCTAAGACAAGACAGTGGCTGGTTGGCTTTGCTGCATCTGAGTTTGTGGAGTTGTGGGTTGATTGTCCAGTTCCAATTTCTTCCACGGGGACCATTTTCATTCTCAGCTCAGTTATAGCGCAGGTAAGACTGCTGGCTCCTGAGCATGGGAAACGAAGTTCTTCCAGGTTCTGTAAACAGCTCAATTGTCA